CTTCAAAATGGTTTTTCCTTATGATTTTAGTATTAATCTATGATTTTCAATATGTTTAAACGTTTATTTGAGTTTTCTCTTTTTATCTGTGTTATTATGTTGAAAACCCTAAGTTTCTTGGTTTTAATCCTGGATTCTGAGTCTGTTTTGTGATAATATGTTCGCTTAATCTGCATATGTGCTTGTTTCTCATGAGCCTTATGATTCTATGTGGTTTTACCCTATTTTGTTCATCAGTGTCTCTAACTTTTACTTCTTCCCCCTATGTCATGTTTATTCAATTAATTCATGCTATGCTCTATGTGAATCCCTAATTTTGTGTGATTTTACCCTATTTGGCTTATTAGGGTTTCTGATTCTTGCCTATTAATTCCGCTTGTTCTCATAAATTTGTGTCAATTTCTCCTAAATCAGTACTATTTGCTATTTTTGAATCTTTGAATCTCTGTGACTGACCCTTCACTAATTTCTTGTGATATTCTCTACTGATTTTAACCTTTATGATATTTTATTACCTTAATCTATGGTCGAGCATGCTGTCAACTGATTCTTAAGTATTTTCCTTGATTAAAATCTGCTGAACATAGTCTCTATTACATGTTGTGTACTTGTACTATGCTGAAAATATTTCCTTATTTGTTATATTCAGCCTTATGTGATTTCCTTCCTTATTTAGTATTTGCCTATTACCGTTTAAATTTAACTCCTTAATTAAAGTAAGTACTTATACTGATTTGATTCTAATTAGTACATAGTTCCATAATTACTGTTGAACTATGATTCTTGCCTTATTTTCTACTTGTTTTCAAACTATAAGTACCTTGCTCTTTCATTAGCACAAAGACACGAACACATTGGTTCAAAAAAAAACTCTCTCTCACACAGAAACACTTTTCTGCTCTCTTTTCTCTGGTTACTTGCTATTGTTCTAAGTTAGCCGGCTGCAAGCCAAGGCTGATTACTCTACTCTCTTGCTCCTCACTTTGTGTTTACTACCTTCTTTACTGGTATGTTCTGATTTCAATTCAAGTTCCAAAAAAAATATGGTCCTTTTATTATTTCAATTCATCCTGTTTCTAGTCTGCTTTTACTTATGGGTTTGTTGTGAAACTTGTAGTTGATATGTTTACATTATTAGCATGTTATGTACTCCCCTTCCTTAGGATCAGTATGAACATGTTACCCCCCTCTATGTAGTCTGTCTCCATGTGATCTTGCTCTATCTGGTTTCTGGTATGAATCTCCTTGTAAAGTAGTCTGCACTCCTAATCTTGTATAATTCTTGGATTGATTTTAGATTATGTTGATCCTATACTCAACCCCTTAAGCATTGCTGATTCTGTGACTATGTCTAATCAGTGTTTCTGAGCATATCTGTACCAGTTCCGAAGACTTCTGCCTGCTATGTGTTTACCATTATGTGCTTTACCTGTCCCCAATTCCCATTTACCCCTGTGTGAAGCCTTGTGGTGCTAAACCTATCTTGGTTCTTTGTTCTATGTGTGATGCTGAACTTGTTCTGAGGTTGGTCTGTTGTTTGTTGATTGCCCTACTCTTTTCAAAACTGTCTTATTGAATAACTCCTATGTTGTTTTACAAAACTATTTTCAAGTCTCTTTTCAAATTGTTTTCCTACTTAAACTTTTTTCAAAACTATGTCAAGCACTCTCACTCTATTCTTAGATCCCTAAGTTCTGTCCCTAGACTGTGTGACTGCTTAGGGATCGCTATGAGATCCCTCTGAACTCTGATGCATTAGAGCTGGCCCTTCCACACTGCACTTACTCAAATATGGTTGTGAAATCTGGGTGTGAGCACTGCCGGGGATCCCTTGAGGTCCTTAGGGAACTCTGACACACCCGGATATTGAGAAAGGCTATGAAACAATCTGAGCAGTTGAGGTTTTCGAAATCTGGGCCTACTTGCAGGCTCCCTATAGTGTAACTTCTTATTTTTCTTTATCTATTAATGTAATTCATTCAATGTTGGTTTGTAATATTCATTGTAAACGAATATTGGGGCTGGCTAGTGAAAAAGGGGAGGGTAGCTATACATGTTATCAAAGGGGTAGAAAACATGCTTTAGGTTTATATTTTTTTCTGTATGTGCATTAGAATTCATGTTTAGGACCAATACATGCAAAGCATATCATGCATTAGATACCATGCTCCTAGGTTTCATGTATACTGTTTTCAACATCTCATTTTGACATTCTTATTATCACTTAGAAATCCTGTTTCTAGGATAAACGACAACACTAAAATAAACTGTTACTTATGCATATTTTGAAATCATGTTGTAACATGCTGTGCATTTAGAAATCCTGCTTTAGGAATTCTGCATATAAACCATTCTGAACCTTATATGTGCATATTAGATACCATGTTTAGGATCTCGTTCATACTCGCTCAGTCACACCTAGTTAAACTACTGATGCATGAAAAATGATATAAAACAGTCTCACGTCTAATTATCATGTTTAAGTAAAACTGGTAATAATTCTATATCTTGTAAAACTTAGAACAACATGCTTTAGGTAAAATATTTCCTACCCTGTTTTAATAGTTCTGGTAACAATTGTGCATTATCCCACGCCTAGGCAAGCCTTAGGTAATCAAATTTCTTATAAAACTGGAAACTGCCTCTTTGTGTGTACTGCTTAATGGTTAACAAGCTTAAAATTAGTAGGCAAAATGATTAGGCCCCTGCTTCTAAGTTTTTTTAAAAATAAACCTGTATGTCTCTTGTGTTCTGATACTCGCCTAGACATCATGTCTTAGGATCCTGTTTAATAATACTGCCCTTGTTTGTGTTTGAGTCGTGCTCTTTACATGCGTTATCTATGGAGGTAAACCTGAGCCTCTTATTTGCTCCTTCCTGCTTTTATTTTCTAAAGTCCTATGTGTTCTTGCTTGTCGCCTTAGTATTTTCTCCTTTAAAACTTAGGGGTCTGTCTAGAACTGTCTATAGGTAGAGGTCCTAATTTCCTCTAGGACCATTAAGAAGGGACGGGTAACAGCACGCATAGAGATTGCTAAATAACATTCGCTTAATAACCGCTAAGGCTACTGATGCTCTATCTAGACTTCCAGCAATTGAGATGGCAGCCCTGACCTTGTCTTCTGTGAGGACTGATTTGTTGCAAACTATCAAGGATAGTTGAGAGGCTGATCCTGAGTTGACAGATTTAATCCAACAACTGTTGGTTCATAAGGAGGGAATAAATGGGTATTCCTACATTAATCAGCAACTAAGGAAGAAGGGAAGGCTGGTAATTGGGAGTGATTCAACTTTGAGGCATGAAATCCTTAACTTGTGGCACAATTTTGTAGGTGGAGGACATTCAGGGATAGACCACACATCACTCTTCTATTGGAAAGGACTAAAAAGGGATGTTGAGGAGTATGTTAAGAAGTGTGATATTTGTCAGAAGAGTAAGTATGATCCCTCTGCTACCCTGGGTTATTGCAACCGTTACCAATTCTATCAGTGGCTTGGAGTAGCATCAGTATGGACTTCATTGAAGGATTGCCCAAATCCAAAGGCAAAGAGGTCATTTGGGTGGTTGTTGATAGGTTAACTAAGTATGCTCACTTCATAGCCTTATCCCACCCCTACTCTGCTTTGAATATTGCTATATTATTCATGGAACACATTTTTAAATTGCATGTTATGCCAGCTGACATTGTGAGTGATATGGACCCTGTGTTCACTAGCAAACTGTGGCAAGAGCTATTTGCAATACAAGGGGTTACCTTGAACACCTCTATTGCTTACCGCCCTCAATCTGATGGCCATACAGAGGTCATCAACAGGTGTTTAGAGACCTATCTTAGGTGCTATTGCTCTGATACCACTGATGTGGTTTTTGAAAGGAAAACAGAAACATTGCAGAAATGAAACTAAGAAGATGAGCTAAGAATATCTTTCATAACATAATGAAACACTGTACAACCATCAGCTTTTACAAATACTTTCATAGATTAGGACTAAACTGTAAAGTAAATAACTAGTGGACTTAAGTGAAACAAAAGACAAGGACCAAACTGTAACTTCTCAGACTTATAACTAACGTAACTACCCTTTATTACTATACTACTACTAAAACTTAAGGTACCCTTCCCGTATGTGCAAGCTCTTCCTCAAGTCATATCAGTTTTTAATGTTTTGAAGGTCAAGTGAGGCCGAAGTGAGCTAGCTGTTAAAATAAACTGACGGTGCTTGGTTAAAAGTAGACGGAGACTAAAATTGATAAGTGATGAATACTTAAAGGACTAAAAACGGTAAGTGCATATTTAAGGGACTATCATAAACCTACTCTAAAAGATAAGGGACGGTTTATGTCATTTCCTATGATATGCTTAATTTTCTAGTTTCTACTGATGTATCTAAAATGGTATTTTCAGCAAGGACAAGGAACATAGAAAATAATTTACTTTCGGGTGAGTTTTTACTTTAACGGGCAGGGTTAGGTGTATGAGTGATTTTTTATATTTTGTTTGAGTTTTAATTATTTTATGTGGTCTAAAAATATAAAAAGTCCATGTGGACTGCCACATCAACTTTTTTCACCGTATATATTAAAAATATAAATATATTTTCTCAAATACTTCAAAAACACAAAATATGTTAATTTTGTATAGATTGACCATAACATAATGTGTTAATTGAGCTAAATCGGAGTACCATCAACATGCAAAATAACTTCCGTTTTCGAATAAAAATAATTAATTGTAGCCTTTATATATACTTATTAAAATTAATGACAATATAAGAATTTGAAACTTACAGGTAGAACCTAATAATATTTATATATATTTAATAAATTTCTATTTCTATAGAGTTGTTGGATCTCTAAATTTTTGACACTGGGATATCTAAATTTTTGAAAAAAATAGATATTGTTACAAAATCTACTAAAATAATACTTTTATGGAAATTGAAATTTCAACTTTTCTTAATTAATTTCTTCTTTTTTGTTTCTCCTCGCGAAGGGGAGCAGGGTGAAGTCATTTTACTTCCAATTTCCCTGTCGTCTGTGAAGAACACTGCTTACACTTTACTAGTCTTCTGCTCCCTGAAGAAACTCTCATTACATTCTCAACTTGAGTACAGCAAAAATGGTGAAAAAGCCATGGAAAATAATCCCACGGCCACTCCTGGAAACCGTCCTCAACAACCACGCTCAACACCACCGAGTTCCTCAGCCCCTTATTCTTCACGGCCCTCGTGGCGTCGGCAAAACCACTCTAATCCTCGAGCGTAAGCATCATCAATTTACACAAACATGAATTACTCATCGTTTTTTTTCTGTGTGTTTATACAATTGTGTTTTACAGGTCTTATGGGTAAATGGAACAGTGGCCCTCATGTAACAGGCTACGTGGACTTTGCTGAATCCGTAAAAGATCATCACCCAATTCACGGTCAATCATTTCCCTGGGCTTCTTGGTCCAGTTGCCCACCTCCTTTACTGCCCTCTCTTACAACTCAACTCGAATGTTGCCTCGAATCGATGGCCCAAAAGGGCATTAAGCTTGGAACTATAAGCTCTCACCAGATTTTCACTGTTTTGAGTAAATGGCATGGACTTAATACAGCCCTTAAACAGATCCTAAATGGTAGTGTTTCTAACTCCAGGAAGGCTGTTTCTATTAGGAATAGTTCGGTGTTGAATTTATGGGAAAGGGCAGTGTTTGCGTCAAGTGTTCGATTAAATGCCCAAGAGAGCTCTGGGTTGAGTTTGGAGGAAGAGACGTATTATAAGGAAGCAATGGCGGCTTTGAATTTGGCTAAAGAGGTTATAAGTGTGCAGCAAAAGTGGAGAGCTAATGCGATCAAGCATTTGAATCAGTCTGGTGGATTTTCGAGGTCTTTGGCCAATTCAGCCACGGATTGGCCCTGTTTGTTATTAGAACTCCTTTCATCTGCCGCTGAAATAGATTATTTTCAGGTAATCCAAATGAAGTTGGCAGTGGCAGAGCCCAGGATTTCATGTAAGGGGATTCAAGAAAATTCTAGAACTTCAGACCTATGATTTAAACCTGTGACCTAAAGCAATTTCTGAATGGCCTTTGCCATTACACTAGAACATTTCCTTGTATCAAGGGGATTCAACATCTATATATAACCAAAAAAATTAACTTTTTTCTCTATTTGCACAGTATAATTTTGCGGCGACGGGTATTCAATTGAACCCCTTGTTTGAACCTAGTTCCGCCCTTGGAAGTTGGATCTTAGTTTTTCATGAAATTTTCAGGAGCTAAATTGGATTCATGAAAAAAGCTGCTAAGAGAAGTAGTAGTAGGGAGCTAAAAGTGATATGTGTCTAGTAAGCATGTTCTTTACCCTGTGATCTCACAGTAAAAAGTCTCTGAAACATGACCTGGAGTTAATGGTCTTCATTTTGACTTAGCTTGTGTCTTTTGCTTTATATAATATTGATGTTTTCTTTTTTGGACATGTCAAAATGAGTAGCCGAAGCTGGTGATAAACAATATTGAAGTCCTTAAGAATGCAATACTGAAAGATGATTCTACTGTCTGTGGGTCCATGTATCACGATAGTCTGATATGGAGAATGATAGCCTTGGGTGCAAATGAGAGATGTCTCCCAGTTATTCTTGTAACATCTGATAGGTAATGCAACTTAACCTTTTATTTTAGCCTAGGACCTGCATTTATCATGCATCTCAATGGACCTAGTTGTCAAACTTCCTTTTTATAATGATTAGTTGCATCATGTGGTTCGAATGCATGCATTTTGCCTCAATGTTATAACGAGAATCCCACATAATTCGTACAAAATTACATTTGGTATGCTGTCTCTCTTAGTTCAGAAATTACAAGTTAGTACTCACACAATACTGATAAAAAGAAGTGCAGCACTCCAACTTCCTTTCCTTTTCCTTACTCAATAAAAGGAATGCTGAAAAAGTGATAGTATGTTGTTTGTGGTTGAATGTGCACGTAGTGTAGAGTAGTGTTGGGCATGGGGTAGTCTGTTTGAGGTGCTACTTATCCTCGTTGGCACATACCATGTATGTTTGAACCTGGAAGCATCCTTCATATGTTTTATGAATTAGGAAGCTAAACTATAAGGCAGTTTTTCATTCAGTAGGTTCTAAGAGAATGATTTACATCCCTGCATTTGCATGACATACATCCCTTGAATGGAAAAGGTGAATTTTGTGTAAGCTTCAGAGGTCTAAAAGATAGGATGGATTGGTGGCAAAACTTCATTGTAGCATCATTAATGAAACTTAACGCATAAACCGTAGCATAAGAGGATTCATAACTATATTTTGTCTGACAAATTGATGCCCGTGTAGGACACATCAATAACAGCCCGTTTTCTTTTTTAAGTAACAGCATGTAATAACACTTGTGATATAATTATCTTGCCTTTGCAGAATAAAGCTACACTAGCTATCTCACCAGCCTTACAGTAGTTATTTTCAAATTTGTGACTGTTATATGCTCTGAGGAACTATCTTTAATTTCCTTTTAATTCAATTTAGAGATTCAACACTTAACAAGAAAATTATTGCAGCTACTACTCATATCGTGCCTATATGGATTTTGGATTTCCGGACATTTTCATCTCACGTGAGGTAAGCACATCAGAATTATTCAAACTTGCTACTCCATCTCTCAGTGAGTGCGAATCTTTTGCCTATAGCTTATCATGAAAACAAAAGGATTTAAACCTTTTGTGCACTTGTTTCAATATTATGCTTTTGTAAATTGCAAATTTGTTAAGGTGCACTTTATCCAGCTTGAACCTTTATTTCCTGCCTTGTCTTGATGGAATCTATAAATATAAAAGGATTTTCTCAATTGTGTGCTTCTTGCATGATTTTCTTTGCTTTACCTCTTCATATTCCTTATTAAATGACAGGTTTCTTTGTTGAAGTGATGCCTGAGTCATCTTTCTCTGAAGTAGTTAAATTTACTCTTCAACTTAATTTGTGTATGCATGGTTTCTGTTTGTCTTACAGGTCTAGCTAAAACTAGCTTATTTTATGTGAACTATGGTACATCTCACTTTATTAGAAATGCAGACATTTGGGTGGACTCCTGCAGAAGCTAAAATGCATATGGTTGACGACTATTTTAGTCAGTCAGAGGTATGACCTTCTTTACACCAGATAAATACAATCATAAGAATATGCTTTTTAGCTTAAGTTATGTCATCAAGATGATTTCTTGTTGGGTATATTGATCATACTTATTCTGCAGTGGAATGTGATTGTTGAGGTGCTAGGGCCGAATCCGAGACATCTATTTGAGGTTTATGCACTCAAGCTAAGTAATTACTACCAGAAGTGAGTACTTATAGATGCTTGTTCATGTATTATAATTGATCTGCAACAATAGGGTCTTGCAGTTGTCATGTAATCTGAAATCCAGTCAATAAATTAAGCTGCTTATCTTGTTGCTTTTCTTATAAGGACATAGAATTCCGTTATGCACTCTACAGTCCACAGTGAAGGGGAATGTGGTTGACCAGTTTCATAGGTATATTAGCATAAACCATTTTTTCTAGGAGAAGCTAAGAGCACTGGTCATTTTTGTGATAATATGTTGTCATATGCCTTCCCACTTGTAGGACTATACCGGGTATATTGTTGTTGTTGTATGTTGTCATATGCCTAAGGACAGATATATGAACTTCCAAAACAGCTTCTTATGGCATGTGATCTGCTGCAATTTACCTATTACTTTGACCTTTGGGAAAGAAAAAGAAGGGGGTTTTGGGGGGAAGTAGACTATCATTGTCATATAACATTTAATCTTTACATCGCATGTTTTTCCAGAGGAAAGCAAGTGCTCTCTTTATCTTTAATTTCCGGTGTGATCTCTAAACCAGTCATCATATCTTGGTGGGGCTACATAGTACTTTTTCTTTGAATTGGTTTCCAAGGCTTTGGTCTAGTGGTAAGAGTGCAGCTTGTGATGTGTGGATTATGCACACGTCATGAGTTTGAACCATAGCGCAGACAAAAGCCTAGTATTTAAGTAGAGAAGAGTAGAGGAGCGGACTCATTACCCACCGAGTTTCGAACCGTGCACCACGAGCCTTAGGGGTTTCTCAGATATTAAAAAAAGAGTTCGATATGTCAACAATTCTCATTTTCTGTTAACATATGTGGTATTCTACGATAAACAGTTTTCTGCTTGAGCCATATACTAAATGATTATCTCAACCTAAGTCACTCTCATATTTATTTGAATCTAGGGTCATGAGTGAGAAGAGCAGTAAATTTGAGGATATCGTGGATGCATACTTGGCATATCTTCAAGTAAGTTCCAGAATAAGTTACAATTTCCATTACATTTGGTTTTAACTTGTTTCAGTGGTGGAGGTTTTATCTTATAAATTATACAAGCTGAAGTTTGTGAGGCAGATAAATTTAAATCAGAACACCAAAGTAAAACCAAATCTCGATTTTTTTCTTTTTGATAAAGTAATAATTTTATTGAAATATTTGGATACAAAAACACCCGTATACAAGAAGTATATCAAAAAGTAGAAAAACCTACAAAAAGATATGGTTACTACAAAAGATACCCAATCTTCTATACCAAAAGGATCCTTATGGGTGCACCAAAAGGAAACAAGGGATAAAAGGCTATTTCTTAATTGAACAAAGTTCATTTCTTTTAAAAGCTCTCCTATTTCTTTCTCTCCTTATAACTCACATAAGCGCAAATGGAGCAACATTCCAACCCCTGCGTCTTCTCATCCACCTACTGCAATTCCAACTGAACATGAGCTCTTCATGGGGCCTGGCATCACCAATTCATTCCGAACCAACACAAAATTTTCCACTATAACCTCGAGGCTACTCAACAATGAAGGAGGAGATGGTCAACGTCTTCACCCAAGCCTTTACATATAAAGCACCAACTGATGTAAGTAACCTTCCACTTTCTCAGATTTTCGGCTGTTAGTATCACCCCACTTGTAGCTAGCCAGGTGAAGAAGCACAACTTTCTCGGAACCTTAGGTATCCAAATTGATCTATGTGGAAGTGCAGCCACCTCCCTAGCCAGAAGCTTCTCATAAAATGATTTAACAGAAAATACCCCGTTGTTTCCCGCCCCCACCTCCGTACGTCGTGGTTATCCTATAGCACTCGTTGTTTGTGAAGCAACTCAACTAGGTTTTGAAATATTGTTACTTCCCCATCCCAAAAGTTCCTTGTAAACCTCAAATCCCAAAAAAATTCTCCATCTTGTATCTTTCTGACTAGTTGGACTGTCATCTCCTTTCGGTTCTGAAAATGTTTGGGAATGCAAGTCACAAGGTATTGTCCCACTTGTGCCCTCAAAATTTACCCTCCTTTCACCCCCTACCCTGAAAGACAAAATCGAATCCTCCCATCCTTTCAGGATATTCCTCCACAATCTGCATCCATAAGCATAGTAATATTTTTTAGTCCTCCAAGCCCTTTCAAGACCCCGTACTTTTCCGCTATCACCTTTCTCCACAAAGCATGTTCCTCTCTCCGAAATCTACACAATCGTTGGCCTTATTGAAAAGCCTCTAATTTTTAACACCAAGCTCACCCCAGCATTTGGGAGACGTAACAATCTCCCACTGCACCAAGTTACAGTCTCCCACTGCACCAAGTGAAACTTCATTGCTCCATCTGTTGAATCCCGTAGAAAGTTCCTTTGGAAGTCTTTCCAACTGATCAGAGCCTGAAACAAAGACATGAAATATGTGGGAATGCTCAGCAATGTGCTCTTAAGAAGCACTTAGTTTCCTCCTTTGGAACAATATATTTTCTACCAACCTGAAGGCCTTTCAACTCTTTAAACTTTCGGATTCTATGCAGCTTGATCTTTATTTGAAGCACCTAGTGGCAAACCAAGGTAGGAAGTGGGGAGAGCCCCAACTTTGCAATTCAAAACCTGAGTTAGAGTCTCAATATCCTCCACTTCTTCAACTGGTATGATCTCGCACTACTCAGATTGATCTTAAGGCCCGACACCGCCTGAAACCATGTTAACTCACGTCCTGAGTATTCCAACTGAGTCTTATTAGCATCACAAAATACCAAGTGTTGTCCGCGAACAATAAATGCTAAGTCTGCACGATAACATGTCACCAAATGCTGCATTGATACGTCTAAGATATTCGTCCGTCACTGCTCTATCCATCATCCTACTCAAAGCCTCCATAAGTAAAATGAAAAGCATAGGAGATGACGAGTCACCCTGTCTCAAGCCTCTCGATCTGCCTCACAAGAATCGACTATCTCACTGTAAAAATGCAGAATTTGATCCACATTCTCCACTTGACTCCGAAGCCCATTTGCAACATAATAAGATCCAGAAACTCACAGTTCACATGGTCATAGGGCTTCTCAAGATCAATTTGCACAAAGAATCTGATACTCCTTGCTTTCTTCTAGAATCTACCACTTCATTTGCAACAATGTTGCATTCAGTATATGTCTACCTTCCGTACAAGCATTTTGCGAAGTAGACATAATCTTGTTCTAAACCTTCTTAAGTTTATTGGAAAGCACCTTAGATATAATCTTATAGATGATGCCCACTAGATTAATAGGTGTGTAATCCCTGGTGCTCATTGCATCCTTCCATTTTGGAATAATGACAATCAAAGATGCATTGAGGTTTTTTCGAATTCTCCTCTCTCCTGAAACTCGTGAATGGTTCCAGCACCCCGCCTTTGAATCTCGGAATTATCTTAAACCTATTGGTTTTGATCAGGATGCGCCTTTTGAGTTCATTTTAGAAAGCAAAGGCATGCTTCAGTTTCTCTTGCTTATAGCTGTGGGCAGGGACGGAGCTACAATAGTGAGTGTGGGCGAACCCAGTAACTTTTCTCCGGACCCTGTATTTGCATTGAAAAATTTACTGAATGCATATAAATATACAACAGCTAACCCAGTAGGAAAAAGGTTCTGGGTTCAGTGGTAAGGGTCCTGGATTTGGAGGCAATCCACGCGTGTTCGATTCTCCCGAGAAGCATCGCAACTTTATTTCTTTTTAACAACGTTTCCTTTTCTTTTTTGGAAAAAAAAAACCACAAACTTGTTACTAAGACAAAGAAAAAGACAAAAGCTCCAAAACAGCCCCAACTGTCCCTTCACTTATTGGAGAGGGTTATTCTCCAAGTTAAAATCAAAAGAAAAGTGAGTGAAAGAGTTACTGTTTTAGAATGCTGTTGTCATTGTTTAAAATCAAAAGTCCCAACCGGTCATGTTTTTCTTCAAGGTCCATCCATGCTATTCCATCTTCTTTTCTTCTTTTATTTGTTTGCCTTTCTTTTATCTTTTGATTTTTAAGTAAATGTTACTTTGATTTTAAATTTTTAATTCCAAAAGTTGAATCTTTCATTTTGGCTTTTTATATTTGTATTGTGGTGCTTCCCCTAAAATTTTAGACCCACCTCTTAATTTTTTCTCAGCGTATGATATTAAAAAATTCATTTATTATAGCAATAATTATTTAGGCCAGAAAAGGATGTGGCTGTTAAGCCGGTGAGGGAACTTTGCGTCATCCGGTAACCTTCTTCATATATAAGCAGAAAGTAAAAAGGAAAGCAAATAGCTTTTCCATGTATCTAGTATTCATTATGCAATGAACTTTTAAAACAAATATTCACAAGATATAGAGACTTGTTTATTGGTTTAAGTTTGATTATTATCTTTGGCTACTGCAATGGTAGAAAACTTTTACTTCAATGAAGTTTTGTGTTGGTGATAACTTTTTGAATGATTGTTTAGTTTGTTATACAGAGAATAACATATTTGAAACTAAAAAATGTACATAATGATGCAATCATTTACTGTTTTCAAAACATGACGAGTCGCCAAGTGCAATTATAACGATATTGTTTAGATTCATATATTGTGTTAAGTGGTTGTTACTTTTTAAATATGTATTAAATATTGGTACTCGTTTCTTAGTATTATAATTTTTGTATATTAGCTTGAGCGCGGTCCTGTCTTAAATTCAGAACCCATACACTTAAAATCCTGGCTCCATCTCTGACTGTAGGTGCGTCGTACTTTGTAACTGTTTGAGCTTGCACATGAGTCACTATGCAAGTCTTATTTTGTTTTCCATATTGTATTCATGTACAAGGTCAAAAGTTAGCTTTCATGCAAGCTATTGAGTCTCTACTTTTTGGACCTACGGTAATAATAAGCTTGTTGGCACATTGCTGTTAGTATCCTCTCCCATTACATAGTATACGCAACTCTACAACTAGGAATAGGCAAAATACCTGCGAAGAGAATTGATATGAATGAGTAAGTATATTATGTCAAGAAATTTGGTTGATCTTCTCTTATCTCTGCCAAGTCAAATGTTTTCTTTTTCATATGGTTAAATGCCCAAGCTCTCTGCCTTCACAAGGTAGGGGTAAGGTCTGCATATACACTACTCTCCAAGACCCCACTTGTGGGATTACACTAGGTTTGTTGTTGTTGTTGTTGTATGGTTTAATGTCCAAGAGTTATATATTGCATAACCTAGAGAGACTTGTGCCTTGCATCTTGACTTGTTTGTTCCAAAATGCAATCTCATACATTATAGAGAGACTATCCTGAAGAAGAAAGTTTCACGGAGTTTTGACAATTTGCATCTGAGTAGTTGAGGAAGTTTCTCTAGTTTGGGTGCTTTATGGAAGAGCGCGTGGATTAGGACTTTTAATAGAATTAAAACAATAGACAGAAAAATAAACGCAGAAACGCTCTGGATTGGGGCTCATAACTAATTAAGAGAATAACCAAGTCATCATTAGGTGTGTAAGCACTGCAATGAAATCGAGCAGACTTCTTAAATTTGTTCAATGTTCAATTTTTCATTCTGAAAGTGCAGCATACTAGAACTGCCAAATATTTAAAATACTCAATGAAGTCCAAGCCCTCATCTGCTATTCTTATCTGTACTGTAGGTTACAGTAGTTAATCCTGCCATGGATAGAGCATTGTCACTTCTACAGAAGTTTGCTGTTGATGCACGAAGTGGAAGAATTTTGAAGGACAAGCTATGTTTTGGTGCTCCCTGGAGACACCCTCCATCTTCTAATGATCCTGTATTGTGTCGTCAGTGGGCTAAACTTCAACTTATGGACTTTGTTCAGTCTCTCGTGAAAGCAGAATTTGGGGTATCATTCATCTTGTTCTATTTTATAAGCATATAAGCAGGTGCTAGCTGTAACGGTCTAATATCATACGAGCATTGCACTAAATTATTTAATTTAAAGAGCTTCATTTCTTTCCATTTGTGCAAGTACCGTGGATCTATTATTTGCATGCTACTCTTGTTGTTTTATATTTTTCCTTGAGCCGAGGGCCTATCAGAAACAACCTCTCTACCTTCTCAAGGTAGGGGTAAGGTCTGCGTACACATTACCCTCCCAGACCCCACTTGTGGGATCACATTGTGTTTGTTGTACTCTTGTTTTATGTTTTCACTTAGAAATCATATGATGCCTCTTTGCGATGCTTACTAGTCTAACTTATCAAAACCTGTGGAAAGTATGAATTTGCATATATAACAGCAAAATATAGGAGTATGAATCATTCTCTTTGTGATGGTCCACGCGTCTCCTTATGTAATGCGTTATGTGATCAATGGCCTTACACTGGTTTTTTATTAGGTAAATTGCTGTGTAAAAGGATAAAATGGAAAACAAAAGTTGATGCCATGTATTTGTGCTTTTGTGATTGGGAAAGAAGACATTCCAAAAGTTGCCTCCTAAATTTTGTAGATAAAATATGATTACTGTTTTTAGAGTCATTAGCATCATAGATACCTACTCTTTTTTTTTTGATGAAGCAAAACATAGTTATTCGTTTTTCCTTGCTTTTTTATTTTGCTCCAATTTGCAGGTAAACTATCTAGCTGATTGTAGTCTTGAAATCTTTGATGATCCCTCTGCTATTGCATTAATAGAGGTACTATGTATAAGTCAATTCAACCTTTTCATCAGGATCTGTGCTTTTCATTTTTGTCCTGATTCTGTTTTTTTTTTCACCGTACTGGCTTTCCCCTATTAAGAACAGACTGGCCCTGCGGTTGCTATGAATATTTGCTGCACAATAATTTTGCTATAATTTGTAAAGGCACTGTTTGGCAAAAAGATGTAACAAAACCCTGTCCAATAGCTATCCAAAGGGGAAAGAAAAGATATCAAAAGAATCAAAATATTGACGCTCTGCCTATTACACTATCTAAATGCTATGATTACTCTTTTTAGGTCGGTCTGCTGTATTCACAACGGGATCCATCATTCATTCGTCCTGTTTCTCGGGGTATTCAGAGATGCCTCGTTAGATGGTAAGATTTGTACTTACATTCAGCCTGGCTTTAGAAAAACTTAGAAGCTCCCGTATGTTTACTCTTTTCATTTCAATACAGGCTTGTTCAACAGCGAATGGAACTGAACTTGAAGAATTCACTCCAGCATCTTTGGCAGCGAGTCATCCGGGGGCGCAGCTATCGCCATCTAATGTTAGAAGTAGGATACAAGTAGCTCATCAAGGTAATTGCTAATGAAACTTTTAAAAGGATTTGTTTGGTTAAGGGTCTTGTGACTATTTGTCTATGGAATAGTCTCATTCATGTTATAACTTCACTTCTCTATATTCTAGAATCACTGAGTCAATGGTGTCTGATATACATTTATGTAGTAATTCACCTGCTGACTAAGATGATGTAAGAAAGCAATGTAGAATGCTATGGCTATTTTTATTCAATTGTAAATTTAAATGTGGTCTTCAACCTTAGTTTGTTTTCCTTATGCTTTTTGTTGCTAACATACCATTTGCGACATGTGGTCTAATAGGGCTATGGTGAATTAATAACTGTTGCTCAAGCATTTTGATGGATATATCTTTATTTAAGGTTAGACTTCGATAGTTTTTGTTTTCTGGAGCGACATTCTGGTTTGAACATAACTCTTTCATCCGATGTCAAAACTAACTAAGAGCTTTTTATTGCTGTATTTCAGGTGGGTCAAGCTCATGCTTACAATGGTGAAGTTGTCCTTTCATCATAAAAAAATTTGTAAGTTAATCTTGGAAACACTCGTAAATACCCTTTCCTGCATAAGTGGTTAGTCTTCTGTTGAGAGTAGCCCTGCCACTAAATCCAAATATCCATCAAACATGTATTATTGCAAATGCCAAGGGTTAAGTTTGAAGGAAGGAAGAAGAAAGGATATTCCTGCTTTCTTTCTTCTACAAGAACTGATTAGAATTCCCAAGAAGGAAAACCATCAGTGTTCCGTTCTGACATATTGCTTAATATCCTTGTGTTAAAGCTTCTTGGCTTCCAGAGCCCTAGTGCTATAATAAAAACTACATATTGTTTCATTGACATAATGTGCTGTAAACCGGCCTTTCCCTTGGGAAATTGAGTATAATTTCCTTTTACTAATTATGGCTAGTCTTGCTTATGATTCTTTTATCAGTGACATTTTTGATATGCTTGGCGTGGTTCTAGGTATTTTAGTTTCTTCTTGGCTCGAAGTTGTGCTTCACCGTTGGTTTTTACTTACAGTTGATTTCTAGAATACCGGGATTCTCTCTCTTTTATATTCATTGAGCTAGAGTTACATGTGCAGTGCACTGTTGGTTGGAGCTGTTACATTTTCTCAGTGCAATATTGTTCGCATTCATCATCCGTGATCCTTTGACCTCGCCCCATCTTTGGTTGAATGTAGCATCTCCACTATAGATTTGGAATGGTGAAGAATACACCTAGAGACATCCAGAGCTATTGTACATTTTTGAAGTCACTCATGGGTGCTTTTCTTATTGGAGCGGGTGGTCTCCCTTCAGTACTTGAAGGCGGCCTCATTTATTTCTTTTATTTTCTCCTCTCAATTGGTATGGGAGATTCTATTATTTCATTTTTGGGTGTTGTGTGGAAAAAGGGAGAGAGAGACTGTTGCCTTGAAGATCAGCCTGCAACGAATCACTTACACGGGCATCCATGAATAATGTTCACCATTGATTTATGAAAGGCGTATATACGAAGACTCTAACAACCTTTCTCGAACCCGCGGACGCTCATTTTGTTTGGGTGCTTCCACAACTAATGGCTTAACAAATACTGTTAGGAAGGACTGCATTTATATATGTAGGGGAAGAAAGTTGAGATTTATTGTTGTAGAACATCTAATTTTCTCAATCTGCTAGGGAAAAAGCAATTTGGGAACATTGTTTTCCTTCTAATATTTCACTTAAGGGTGCTCGTTAGTTCTTTTATATATCATTGAATATATTGAGAAAGTTATAAAGTTGATAGGTAAGCTAGCCAGATGGTTTTGTAAGCACTGCATTATCCTCTCTTTTGGTCTGATATAATTCTTTCTGATTTCTCGTATGTGTAATCTGGAAGAGGATTGGAAAATCTTGGCTTTGCAGTTTGTTATGAGTATTTTTTTTGCTTCTCTGGAGCCACTGTAGTTCTAAATATCTTCACTCTTTTCTCTTTACCACTTAACATGTTTCTCCGTATGCAACTTGATTTTGGTTGAGGGATAAAATTAATATGGTTGTCCTATTGGCGTTTTGGACAGTCAATATGACAGTTGCAGAGATGGATCAAGCATACAACTATTGAAATTGTTCAGAAATTAATATTTAAGTAGTTAGAAACCACAGGATAATAGTCTTACAAGTTTCAGTTTTTCCCATTGCAAAAAAATGAACAAAAAATGTAGCTGTGTAAAGGAGCACGGGAAGGACAAATGAGAATCAAACTCTGCTGATTAAGGAGGAGAGAATGAAATGGTTATCTGTCCAAATGAGCAAAGCAGCAAAAGTTTAAAAGTATGTGGAATCCTTCCTCATAGAAATCATTCACAAAGAAACAAACACGAAAGTTAAATTGCTAGAAAATCAAGATATATATCGGATTTCCCATATGTTTCTAGTCCAGAACAATAAGTCATGAACTGATATCACTGATAATAAATGTTAACCAAAAGAAGTTCACAAGAAGTCAAATTGAATTGAAAAAAAGAAAAAAGAAAGAAAAAAGAAGAAAGGAAACACTTGCAGTTTTTTTCTTGTAGCGGTGCTGAAATGTTTCTCAAAATAACAATTGAAACATTAAATACTCAAAATTTTGGAACTATATTCTATTTGGAAGTTATACAATTTTACTAATAGGCTAGTACTATGATAAATGATTAGTCTATTAACCAAAAAAAGAAAGACAAAAGGTATTGAAAGGAACTGTGGTTAAGCTTTTCGAAGTGAAGTGGAGAAAGATGTGGTTGTGTTTGATGTGAAAGAAAATAATTTTTGACAATCGAACACAAAAATATAATTTATTTTATGAAAAGGAAAATACTTTTTTCACATTTGGGTAGAAATTATTTTCCTTCACAATTATCATAATTCTTAACTTTATATCACTCACTGCTTTAACTGCTTCGACATCAGTCTTTAGTACTCAATATCTTTTTATCAAAACACTATTATATATGCTAATATTAAATTTATCAATCTTCAGTATATATATTTTTCGAAAAACATTTAAAAAAAAACAAGTCATTTTTCAGAAGAATGACCTTGGCCATACCAATTATAGTTGCACAAATTCAAATCATTTCAATGATCTTGCAACTATTCTAATCTGTCGGGAAAATGAAAATTTTGAATAGTAATTAGACCTGCCTAGTGGTGGACTTAGAGAAATTGCAGGGCCCTTGGGGACCCTCATGGTTAGATGATTACAATTTTGTTTGAAAAAATTGAGGCTTTCATCATGACAAATTAGGTATTTGGTTAAGAAATTTAATGAGAGATGTTCATTTCTCTTTTATAGAAATGAAATCCAACCATAATCTGAAGAATCAAAATAGAATTGCAAGCTCAATATTAGAAAGAATAACTGGAAGTAGAATTGAAATTTTTGTGGAAGAAAATAGTTGGATAGTTTATTCAATTCACTGATGGCCTTATATAGGCTTACAAATTAGCTTGAACATGTTATCCCACTAAACAAACTCTCCTAAACTTTAGGAAAAGATATCTGAACTCTAGAAACTAGGAAAAATATCTGCAAGAAAAAAAAAACAAAATAACAACTTGAAGCTAAAAACTAGCTATACTACAGACTTAGTCAATACTAAATGGTTACTGATGTTGTACAACTTTAACATAATCATCACAGGCTTCTTTGATATCCTTTTTACAGCTTTAGTTCGCACTCAAATCAAAACCACAAAGGAAAATTCTTCCACTATAAATATATACATGATCACTTACTCTTTAGAAGTCATACTAGTATTAACTATATAATCCAGCCTAATCCAAGCAGTAAAAAAGTTTAATTTAGCTTTCACCAATTAATTTTAGCAAGGATTAGAATTAGAGAACAATGATTGTAATTGCACTTTGGACCACTAAGATATAGAGTTTCAACTCCACAATATATATGACACTTTAATGCTTGAGCTTATTATTTAGATGCAACAACTTGACATAAGATAATTCAACAGTTGTCATCTGATATTTTCGTTTATTTGGCTATTTGTTTGATTTATAACTTTATAATTTCACTACTAGAAATACGAAAAAAAGTGACCACAAAAAGCGACCAAAGTTGGTCGCTTACAGGTCAAAAAGTGACCAAAAAGCGTCCAAACAGGCTTGGTCGCTATTTTGCTGGTCCCTTTACCTTAGAGATCAAAGTAGTTTTGCTCAACCGCATAGCTAGTTCCACATACGGATTAAGAAAGATGATTGCGAATAGTTGACTATAACTCAACAACACTCATATAATTGTAGAAAATATGATTAAATCCTTATAAAGTCGACTTATTGATTTTTTATTTTACTTATGAGAAAATATATGCTAATTTTTACTTCCTTTCTAATAGATGCAATCTCTCCCAAAAATCATTTACTTTTCGAATTCATATATAAAGCAATGAACTTCAACCTTTATTTTTTGCGTCTTAAAATATTTTATAAAAAATTATGAAAAAAAGTAAAGTATGACTTTCATGTAATATTTTTTTTTATATATAATCTTTTATTCATATCATGACTACGAACTTCATTTTGAGACGAGTTACGAAGCGATGAATATTTAGTCTTTTTCGTTAAATTTTTAATAGGATAAAGACAATTATATTTTTACGAACGGTCAGTCCGTCAATCAAGAACAATCATTGACAGAATGGCAATTGAAGTCATCAGACAATTAATAGTTATTTTTCTTGCCGAATAATTAGAAACTTAGGTCCAAATGTCATGAAAGGTTAGGTTTAATTTACATTGAACCAATGACATTCATTCGACTTTGTATTTGTATTTTCCTGCTGTTAATGTCTTGCGGTTATTTATTCCTTCTCTTATTATTTTCTACACTGTTTTGAGGGAGCGAAGCAATTTTTTTGGTCAAAAAGGGTATTTTCTTTGTTTTAAAAAGAAAGGATCGAATGAAATATTCACCTTTTCATATGTGCTACTAACTCATATTATGTTTTGTGGAGCATTAATTTCACATTAGCTTTTACTTTTTATCTAGTTATATTACCCTTTTACTGTAAAGATGCTCTAATTATTCTGAAATATGATTGTTGTTGTTTTTCTCTATCACATGTTAATTATGTCAAATATCAGAAACAAAAAAAATAATTCTTCACAAGTTCAATATTTGTGTTTTATGTATCGTAAAATCCATTAAACCACTCACCACATGCCCCTTTAGCTTATTCTAATGGTGAAACCTTTGCCAAAATTCTCATTTTTCAGTCCATGCATGCATGAGCTGTAACCCCTCTTTACCAACCACAAAATCTTCCCATTTTTATTTTCCAAAATCTCTTTTTTTTTTTTTTCAAACTTAATTCTTCAACCTCTTCATAATCATACATATATAACCTTCTCTTTGTTCCTCCATTTTCCTCTTCTTCATCAATCTCTTTCTCCTCCTCCTGCTCACACAGAGAAGGAAAACAAGAAGAGAAGAAGAAATCCTTTTTGTATTCTCTGTGGAGAAATAGAAAACCATCAAATTTTCATCATTTCCCCATGCTATTTTCTTCCATATACATAAAATTTTTGTCATTCACATAGGTAATGCCCTTCTCTTCAAAACTTTATCTTAATTTTGGTTTCCAGTTTTTCCCACAAAAAGAGGGATAATTAAACGATCAAAAGATTAAAACCAATTAATTTGGAATTGAGGTGTAATTGATTAATATTTTTGTTGGTGAGCTTTTTCTAAATTTAGTCTTATTTTCAATTTTCATTTTGTCTTTCTCCTTTTTTTTTTTTCCTATTAAATTTTGGGTTCCAAGCCCAAAAAAATATAATATCAACATAACGGAATAAGCAAACCTTTGGAGAACAAAGAGAGGGTCCAGGATTCGACGAGAATAAATATGAACGGTGAAGATAGGCCGAAGACGTTGTGGAAGATCTTGAAGAAACGGCTAGGATTCACTGGGCTAGCCTGTTGTGGGCCTTCTTGGAATATGAGAGTATCAGACGTGGAAGAAGAAGAAGACGAGGAAGCCCAAATTTATGGAGATGAAGAGGCCCAATTCTACGGTGAAGAAGAGCCCATGATCGAGGGACGGCTGAATTTGGCGATGGTGTTGGCTGCGGAACGAATAGGGAGCGTGACTCCCACGACGCAATTCAAGACGTTGATGAGATTATTCGAGGAAATTGACGATAAAGATGAGATGAACAATAACACGCGACATAGTAAAGAAGGGGCCGGCATTGATGCGGTGTGTTGCGTATGCATGGAGAGGAATAAAGGCGCAGCTTTTATTCCATGCGGACATACTTATTGTAGGATTTGTTCAAGAAAGCTTTGGTTGAATAGAGGCTTGTGCCCTCTTTGTAACAACACGATTGATGATATCCTTGACATTTTCTAATGCTATTCTTCACATTTTTCTTCTCTTTATTATTTTTTATGTTGTTCGACAATGTAAAATAGGTTGGATGTCCCGATAGCAGACAATCCACTACTTGCTTCTGCATATTTTGTCTGAAAGTGAAATGAACAAATGAAAAGAAATGAAAGCAATATTCGAAAAAGAAGAAAGCAAAAAGATATAGATGCTAATTCTATGGAGTGTGATCTGATGTTCAATAAAACACATACATTTTGATGGAACTAGTCTCAGGATACGCACGTTGCGCGTATATTTTATCTCAATAAAATAACGAATATTAACATAGTCTATTCAATAGAGCCGTGTCTTTTAATGACTAAATAGAAAATGTAGTTGTATATTAAATCAAAATATATATTTAGTCTATACCATGTTTGTGTCTTCTCAAATGAACGTGAGAATAACAACAACAACATACCGAGTGTATTCCCACAAGTGGGGTCTGGGGAGGGTAGAGCGCAGACCTTACCCCCTGCCTTTAAAAGACAGAGAGTCTATTTCCGGAAGACCCTCGGC